TGTGGAATCTGAGTGTTCACAGGATTCAAAGAACCTTGTTGCGGAAGGAGGTTTTCACTGCTAACCTGTTGAGGTCCTGTTGGATTCTGAGGTAGAGAAGACACATATGAATTCACAGGAGCAGAACCTCCCTGCGGGAGGTAGCTCCCACCACTAAACTGTGCAGTTTGTCCAAATGGAGTTTGTGGGCCCATGTTTGAGGCTACTGAAGATACCGAACCTGCCTGTGGGTGAAAGCTTCCATACATGTCAGAACGTGGTTGTGCCGGTTGGGCAGTTGAGGCTGAAAATGCTGGCTCAGAATAAACAGCAGAAGAAGGTACAGAAGGTGGGAGGATGTCTGCCAGAATATCAGTTTCCTGCAGGGGAGGTGTTGACAGTTCTTGAGGCAAGAACTGTGAGTTTACCGAAGGAGGTTGAACATTGGAGATACTGGGTGCTGGGTATGTAATAGCTGAAAAGGAGTCCCCAAAGCCAAAGTTATCATTTGTGTCCACTTTTGAGGCTGGCAACTGGGTATTTTCCACATGGTCCGCAGTTGCCTGGAAAGGAGCCATGGCTTTCTGCTGTTGAGTTGGGTCGGTGGCAGTAGAAGGGATAGCCTTAAAAGGAGTGTCTCCAAATGGATCTTCAAATGACTGCATCAAAGACAACTATTTTAAACCCAATGATGACCAACTGAATTTGAGGGGGTTAGCGGGGACATAATAATTAGTTAGAACTACAGATGTGGAAAAATAAACAAAACATAAAAGAGAAGAGGCATTCACAAGTGGCTCATATCTACTTCAAGAAGGGCAAGACATAATATTTGGAAATATTGGAAATGTCCTTCCAATTAGTATTAGTTTCAACCTCGTCACTATGTTAAGGGAGATCAAGTTCATCACTACATAAAGGGAGACGGAAGCAAAAAGAAAACATGTGGCACCGTGAAGAAAGGGTGCGATCCAGAGTGACTTTAACCCCATTAAAACATTTCTTAAGCAAGTAAACCATACATACCTGAGTCGTCTGAGTTGTAGAAAATGCAGGTGCGAGGCCAGAGTTTGCATGAGCATCAGCTTCAGAGGTTGCAGGTAAAACTGGCATAATAGCCAGTGGATTTGAAGAAAATGAATCTGACAGAGAACCAAGTAAGTCCATTTCAGCACTATTTGCAGAAGGGCCAGATGCAGTAGCTGTGGGAGAGGGAGATATATTAGGAATAGCTGTAGAAGAGACAGATGCATTAGGAGCAGCAGTGGAAGCAGCAGCACAGGGAAGCAGCTGTCAGACAAAGAAAGTTCAGTCAT